CCAGAGGATGGACAGTTGTTTGGACATGTCCAGAGGAGGGACAGTGGGTATACTGGTATGTTAGAAATGCAGCTGCCAGGAAAAAGACAAAGAGGAGATATCTGGATGCAGTTAGAGAGAACATGGAGGTAGTTGGAGTGAGGACAGAGTGAGATGGAGGACGAGGACTCACTGTGGACACCCTTAAGGAGGGAACAGCTGAAAGCAGAAGATAACTGAAATGCGCATTGAACATCAAAACTTTCACTGTTGTTTCATGGCCGAGTCTTTCTGCGTGTAGAGTGTAAAAGTCTTGAGTTTGTGGAAATTCACATTCTGGACTCCGCACTCACTTTTCGAACAGATCTACTGTGGCAACGTAACTCAGGCTTCACCTGCTGCTCGGCTGGATTCACTGCACAATGTTCATTTGCCCGTGTTTTGTTCTTTAAAGCTGTCTGCGTTGAGAGAACACCGAGCTGTGCCATCTGTGGGTGCAGCAGGTTCTTGTCCAGAGAGCAGAGACCGATAATGAGCCGTCTCACACGAGTTGTGAACCTTTTATTCATTAACATTTTAAATACGTAGTTCTTCATCCCCTTTCCTGTGTTGATTTCATACTTTGCAATGAGTATTGTCATTGTTACATTATAAACAACATATTTTATGTAACATTCGCAAAAGACTTGGTGAGTTGTGTTACTTTTATTTTAAATCCAAGCAGGATTTGTGGCTCTGGTTTTATTTAGTGGCAGAAATTGCTCTTTGATTGTAAAGATCAGTGGCCCTTCATTTAAAGGAACACCTCACATGTGTTGAGTTGTTTAGAGCGGCTTTCATTATTCTCTTGTTCAGACACTAATGTTTTCTGTTAAATAACCTTTAGCTGCTCTGTTAGTTCACTGAGGTCGACATGGGGCAGAGACGGCTCTCAGGCGAAAAGACAAAACCATTTACAAACTCTTCCCTGTCCGTGCTTCAACTCTGAATTATTAAGCCAGAACTGGATTATTATTTTTTTTTATTTCCATAGCCTCAGTTTGATTTGAAATGCTTTGCCTGAACAGACAATCTGCTGCTCGTCCGACAGCCTGAGGCGATGCAGCAGCCTCTGTAGACAGTCCTCTTATTATCCAGTTTTACTTCCCTCACTTCTCTGTGATGTGATGAATTATTCTGTTTGTTCTCTGATTGATTTCCTAATGTAACCGCTGCCTCTGCAGTGTTTTCCGACATGAAGCAGCGGTTTGTAATGAGACCTGTGCTGTTCTTTTCGTTTGCGTCAGGATCATTCGTTTGCCTAAATGTGAGCAAAGCTGCAGATAACAGCAACAATTTGCTGTTTCATGAACTACTCGCAGATCGATGCAGAGACGTCCTCGAGTCGGTCCTGGTTGCCTGGAAACAAGAACCAGTTTAGTTTTGCTGCGTTGCTCTGCCTCCGATGTCGATGCAGAACAAAGTTGCTTCACCTCCTAACTGCAGCTCTGCACATCAAAATGCTTTCGATGATTTAAAAAAAACTGTTTTCTTTATAAATAATGTAAAGATTATCATGTGAAGATCAACTTTACATTAGGGTTGACTTCATCAGCAATAGGTTTTAAAGGTAGTCAGCGCAAAGTCATGACCAGTAAAAAAAATAAAATCTAAATTGAAATGGACGTAAAATTTGAGTAAAATGTTCCAAATGTTAGACAAGAGTTTAAAATAACTTAAGTTTTGCCAAAGCCACGTATGTAAATGTTGAGCTCCCCCCCGACCTGCTCGATCCCTGATATTTACTCTTGACCTGAGGGGCAACAGTTTTCACCAGAGAGCCAGATCAAGATCTGTACAGCAATCAAAGAGAACGGAAAAATACATTTTATTTAACAATCTGGACAACCTTTTTTCAGGCTTTTTTCTCGTGGAAGCATTTTTAACTTCATAAAAAATCTTTCTCCCCATTACTTTTTAAAAACGTGACACTTTCTGTAAACTATCTCTTTTCACAATATATTTGTTAGTCTAAACAAACAAAGGAGTCGTCAAGCTTCAGTCTAGTTCTAGGAACACATCGACTTAAGAAGCCCATCTTCAGCTTAAGTTTGATTGATAAAATACTTACGTAGAAGTTTTCTTTTTAATTAAGGATATTTGGGGCCGGATGGAGCTCATCCAAGGGCCACTGTTGGCCCTCGGGTCATATATTGCTCACATGTGTGACAGTTGTTTTGTTTAGTTTTTCCCGTTCAGCAGCTCGTTCACTCCGTTTCCATCTGAACGCGTCCCCTCGGCTCCACGCTGGCCTGAGTGGTTTACCTGCGCAGACTACAGCTGAATGTAGTCATGTGACTAAAGGCTCCACATTCTGCAGCTGCTTTGTTTACACTGAGCGCAGACCTGCACATCTGGATTTGTTACACCTGAAAAAAAAACTACTGGAGTAAACTTTCAGACTGCACCGTTTGATCTGGTCCAGATAGCTTTTTGTTTTTCATTTTCCAATAAGTATCTTTGATCAATGTAATGCAACCGCCCATTTACTCACCTGGATATTGTTTTGTCATTTAGGTGAGTCCAGGGCGGATCGGATCCCTCCCACCCCCTGCAGCCCACCTTCATCCTCTTCCTCCTCTGTGACCACACAGCCAGCCCCCAGGACTGAACTGTTCCCTCCCCCACCCACCAAAACCTCACCTGTGGCACCAGCTAGTTCCCCTTCCTCTGCAGAACCTCAGCCTGAACCTGAACCGCCCGAACCCTCGCAGTCAGAGGAAGAGGAGGCGCACGAAGCCTCGGAAACGAAGCACAGACCTCCCAAGAAAGACCTGCTGGAGATCGACCGTTTCACAATTTGTGGGAACCGAATCGACTGATCAGCAGCAGCAGCTGATCTAATCACTCAGGAAGGCTCACTGGCCGCCCCCTCCCAGCAGGAAGCAGAGTATTTATTAAAGTCGTGAACTTGGACACACGGTCAGACGACTCTGCCGTCGGTGACGCCTGAAGCTGAGAAGTTTAGAAAACTTCAGGTGTCTGACAAACAGCAGGAGACAGGAAGTGAGCGTGTGGCAGCCGAGCTGTGGAGGCAGGCTGCCGTGTGTCGGTGTGTGTCGGTGTGTGTGTGTGTGTGTGTGTGTGTGTGTTGGCGTACAAGCAGCTGTGGGACCAGAAGGACAGAAGTTTAACTCTGCAGCAGGAAAACAAACTAAACTGTCATTTAAGTTTCTCAGACAATCACCGTGAAGGTACCGAGCATCACCAACGGGTCCGTTTGCAGAACCGAGCAACACCTTCAGGCACCGAAGTTCTTCCAAGGAGTTCAGGAGTTTAGAAATGTGGCTCCCCACCTGAAAATCACAACCGAAGTGTTCAACAGAAGGCAGAGTTTCTTTAACCCAACACGTTTGTTTAGGTTCTCTGGACAGATTATTTTTTATTTTATAATTTTGGTTTAATTTTTTTTTTCTTTTTAAAGCAAATGTATATATTTTTTATTGATGTTTTTATTTTATTTATTTATTATTATTTTCATTTTCTTTTTTTTTTTCTTGTCCAGACGACTTGACTTAATTTTGTTAAATTTTTCCACCTGGATTGTTGAGCAGCATCAGGATAGTCTGAATAATTAAACAATATAACATTTTGGCTTTTTAAATTAATTAGGGAAGAAACTTCAGCACCTGGCTGAAAACATAAAATGTGAACTTTCTTCAGACTTTGGTTAATTTTCAAAGTCAGAACAAAAAGTTTGCTCCAATCTAAATGTTGGAGTTGCTGCTTGTGTCGTCAGCTCAGTTGAGTCCGGCTGAAAATGGATCTCGACCTCTGAACTGAAGATGAAGCATCATCTGATGTGTTAACAACAATATTTACAAAGAAGAAAACATTCATTTTTACCCAGTCGCCTTAAAGAGGAGTTTTGTTTCTGTTGGGTGAAGTCGTGTGCAGCCAGGTGAGCCTGTCAGTAAAATATCTGTAAATGTAACAGCAGAAATCTGGAGCTGATCAAGTCCATTCCTCACCAGAACTTCCCTCCAACTGTTGATTTAAAAAATGCACCGATATGTGAATGATTGTTTTTATTAATATTTGCAGTTAATTGTTCAAACAGGGTTCAAACGTGCGGAGTGAGACACTTCCTCTGACAGGATGAATATTTATCACCTCGTCGTTTGCACAGATGGACCGCTGTGTCTTAAAATACGGTCGTTTCACACACACATACACACACACATATATATATATATATATACACATATATATATATATATATATATATACATACATATATATATATATATATATATATATATAGATATATATATATATATATATATATATATATATATATATATATATATATATATATAAAACTGAGCTGATGCTTTCACGTGGATGTCTTAGAATGATAGAAGCAATATTCCCTGAACAAAATGCCTTCTCTGCATGTTTGTGTTAAAAACCGAATCTTTTACTGACATTAACAAAGTGTTCAGATTTTTATTTTAATGTGATGAAAAAAAATCTTTACAAAATATTAAAGATCAGTTTGAAGTTCATAGCTGAAAAGAAAAAAGTTTCAAAGCTTTTATATTTAAAAGTTTAGTTTCCATCAGCACTGTTTTTTATTACAAGTTAAATTTGCTGAACTAAGTAGTGACAATAAATACTCTGGGTAATTTGTAAAGTTTACGTTTATGTAAAAGAGAAATGTTGAGAAACTACTGGCTCAGTAAACGGAGCAGATGCTGTCCCTGGTGTTCTGGTACCACACGGTGAAATAATCCTGTTATTAAGGCTTTGTGTTATTAATTTATAAACTGTTTCAATCAGCAGCTGCTGGTTCTGTTTTGAAGAGCGGTTCTTTATATCGTCCATTACTGTTGTAATAAACAAGATGGTTCTTTTTTTGGAACTCGTAAAGTTGTGGAGATATTTGTTGAGCGTGAAACGTGACGCTGGATCCAGCGAGCGGTTCTGCTGCTCCGAGGTCGCCCGAGTTTTGTTTGGTCTCACCCAAAGGTGAAAGGCAGCTGAACCAGAACTGGGCCGAGACCAGCAGAACCAACGGAGACACGTGTTCTGTCCGGTACACTGCCTGCTCTGCCTGATCCCTTTTAAACTTCAAGATTGTATAAAATGATCTTTTGGAATAATAAATGTTGATTTTCTGTAAAATAACTCGCAGCATCAGATGAATGTGTTCAACATCTTTTTGAGTCGTTTAACAAAAGACGGTGGATCAGTCGGTAGATCTGTTGCCTCTCAGCAAGAAGGTTGCCGGTTCCAATCCCAGCCCGGGACCTTTCTGGGTGGAGTCTGCATGTTCTCTCTGTGCTGCGTGGGTTTTCTCCTGGTACTCCAGTTTCTTCCCACAGACCAAAAATATGCATGTTAGACTGATTAACTCTAAATTGTCTCCAGGTGAGAGAGAGAGAGAGAATGGTTGTTTGTCTCTGTGTCCCTGTGATGGACTGGAGACCAGTCCAGGTGTCTCTGTGATGGACTGGAGACCAGTCCAGGTGTCTCTGTGATGGACCTTCTTCAGTCTGAGGAACAAACTCCGTTTTACTGTTTGTAGCAGCTCCTCAGCCTGAAGAAGTCCTCTGGATTAAAGACGAAACAGAACAACAGAGAAGAATCCGTCCAGAGGACCAGACTTGACTTGGTTAAATTTCTCTCCCTGGAGTATCAGGACATTATTGGAGCAGATACATTTTGCGCTTTTCAAACTCATTAGTTTTTCACATATTTAAAGAAATTAAATTATTTTTTAATCCAAGTTCTGTTAAATGCTGACAACTCATGACCATCTTATGAGCAAGCTGTCCTGTTACCTGTCTGAATCATTTATAGGTTGGAGGTGGTTTAGTCAGTTCAAAGGTAAACAGGTGACCTCACTGTTTCTGCAGTGTCTGGGAGGTGGAGGTCAGGCGAAGTAATCTGCAGCAGACTTTCTCAGAGGGATAAGCTCCTTACGCTGCTGAGAGCCGAGACGAGCTGCAGGCCTGCCGCAGCGACGTGCACAGGTGAGGCAGGACACCTGGACCGAATCCAGCTCAGCAGGTAGGTCAGGAGGAAATAAACAAGAAGCAAAGCTTCCTCTTTCAACATAAAGCAGCCATAAGTTTTACAAACGCATAAAAGTGTTTAAATTGTGCAATTAAGAATATTCTGCACACACACGTCAAATTTGTGCACAAATCACCTGCTGGACACGGATCAGCTTGCACGTGACTTGACTTTGAGAAGGAAATTTTTATTCTGATTTATTTGAAATGTGTATATTTGAAACACCAAGTGTGACCAATTTTGAAACTAATTTATCTTCATTTAACAGTTTTTAGATACAGAACATTTTAAACCAGTAAATTATTATTTTTATATTTTAGCAAAAATCATAAACCACATGAGTAACGCTCACAGTCAGCGATCAAAGCTTCTAAACAGGAGTCCCCTGTGTCTCCAGGAGCTGCAGGGCCCCAAGAGCTCCCCAGAGAGGACAAAGACCTGATTGTGCAGAACCCACCTGATCGGACCTGGACAGAACAGCGCAGGTATCCTCAGCCCATCAGAAGGTTAGAACCATGATGTAATACAGAAAACACAACGTTAGTGTTTAAATGCCAGCATGAAAACGTTTATTAAACAAAGACAATTATTAAATATAAAAGCCTGCTTATATTAAAATCTGACTAAACTCTAATTTAGACAAAAAAGTCAAGTTGTCCGAATAAGAATTGTGCAACAGTGAGATGATTAATATTTATTAACTTTAATGCAATAATTTACATGAAATATTTAATCTGGGGGCTATAATTTGTTTTAGATTCTGTGCTATTTTCAATAAATTAACTCGCAAAACTTTATTAAAAAATGCCCAAAACAGCTGGTATTTGAATTGTAATTAAAATATTGTTGAATGCCTAAAAACACACGCTGGAGAAAAAAAAAAAGTTTAATGATCTTAATTATTAAATGCAGTGACTGATACCTAAAAATCTAAACCTGCATCCATGGTTGGTTCTGCAACATTCTGATAAAAACATCTCGATTCCAATTTTGTTTTTTTTTTTTTAATATTCAAAGATTAAAAAAATGAACTTTATAAAAATGTGACACATGTTCACATGAGTGAAGCTGTTTGGATTCTCTGGTAAATGATCAAATCCAAAGTTAAAAGATAAATGTCGGGTTCATCAGTTGATGCACCTGCGCACTTTGGCTCACGGGTCCCCCGGCAGGAGGCGCGCGCTTCTCTCTGGACCAGTCGCAACGGCGGCGCGCGGCCCCGCTTGTGCTCGCTCCCGCTGCAAACAGATGCTGGACTGAACGCGTCGAGGACTGGAGACTGTCCGTGTCCGTCCGGGAGCCTCGGAGTCCGCGGAAGGATGCTCAGAACCGGGCGGCGGGACTTCCTAAGCTGCGGTCCATCCTCCGGAGCACTTTAAGATCCACCTCCCCCCTTTAACCCTAAAAACACACGAGTCCGGGCAGTCCTCGTCCAGTCTCGGTGCTGGGACCGGCTTTTGGACAGCATGTGGACGCGCGGGACTCTGCTGCTGCTGTCGGTGCTTTCTGCGTCCGGAGAGCTCCAGCAGGAGACGGAGCCGCGCAGACTCCCACCCCCGGGAAAGTTGGACTTCGGATATGTGCCCGCGGGAGTTTATGAGACCCTGGCCCACTACGAACCGGGACCCATCGGGATTCTGTTCCAGCTGGTGCACGCCTTCCTGCACGCGGTGCAGCCCAACGCGTTCCCGCACGGTGAGTCCGGGCCGGGTGGAGGTCTGTGGACACCCAGGCTGCACAAACCACCACAGAAAGAACATTTAGTGGGATCTTATCACATGATGACCTCTGGCTTTGAGCTTGGACTTAGAAACAGCCA